GCCCAGCTGGAGTGCAATGGTACGGTCTCTGCTCACTGCAACCTCTACCTTCTGGGTTCAAGCAATTCTCCTATCTCAGCTTCCCAAGGAGCTGGGATTACAGGCATGCACTACCATGCCCAGTTAATTTTTGTATTTTTAGTAGAGATGGGGTTTTGCCATGTTGGTCAGGCTGGTCTCAAACTCCTGACCTCCGGTGATCCATCTGCCTTGGCCTCCCAAAGTGCTGGGATTACAATCGTGAGCCACTGTGCCTGGCCAGGATATATATAGTTCTAACAGTATATAAAAGAACTTATAAAATTTTCATAACTGGCATCATACTGTACCTTTACTTTTGCAATTTTATTTGTTCACTAAATATTCAATGTTATGGTTTTGAGATTTATCCATGATGATACATGTAGATCCAGTTCATTCTTAACTATGATACAGTATTCCATAATTTATGTATACATTCTCTTTTGGATAAGAATTTAGGCTAGTTCTACCTTTTCTGGCTACTATAAAAACATTTGCACCCTTGTGTGCACTTTCCAGTGTGTATGCATATGGAATTCTTGCTTCCTTAGCAGTTTCTCCAAATTTAGTATTTGAAGACTTGAAACTCTTGCCAATCTCATCAATGTGAAATTGTTTCAAATTGCATTTCTCTAATTACTAATGAGGCTTAGTGTCTTCTGATGTTTGTTGTCCATTTAGGTTTCCTCTTCAATGAATTACTTAATCATATTCCTTTTTATTTTTATTTGAGATAGGGTCTTACTCTCATCACCCAGGCTACAGTGCAGTGGTGTGATCATGGCTCACCGCAGCCTTGACTTCCTGGGTTCAGGTGATTCTCCTACCTTAGCTTCACTTAATGATATTCCTTACCCATTTCTCTACTGGTTTTTTGGCTTTTTCTTTTTTTTCCTTTTTTTTTTTTTTTGAGACAGAGTTTCGCTCTTGTCACTCAGGCTGGAGTGCAGTGGCGCGATCTAGGCTCACTGCAACCTCCGCCTCCCAGGTTCAAGTGATTCTCCTGCCTCAGCCTCTCTAGTAGCTGGGATTATAGGTGTGCACCACTATGCACAGCTAATTTTGTATTTTTAGTAGAGACAGGATTTCACCATGTTGGCCACGCTGGTCTCAAACTCCTGACCTCAGGTGATCTGCCCACCTTGGCCTCCCAAAGTGCTGAAATTATAAGCATGAGCAAGCGCATCTGGCCAGCTTTTTCTTTTTCAGAAAGAAATTGTAGGAGTTCTTTATAAATTTTGGACCGATACTTTGTTGGTTAAATGTATTTCAACTACCTTCTCCTAGTCCATGGTTTATCTTTTAATGTTTGTGCTTTATATGGTTTTATATTTTAAAGTAGGAAAAGTTATCATATTTATCATTATGTTTTAAAAAACACTGATTAGAAAAGTTCTTCATTATACTTGTAAAGGTATTTTAGAGTAATAATAATAACACTAGGCCGGGAGTGGTGGCTCACGCCTGTAATCCCAGCACTTTGGGAGGCTGAGGTGGGTGAATCACGAGGTCAGGAGATCAAGACCACCCTGGCTAACACGATGAAACCCCATCTCTACTAAAAATACCGAAAATTAGCCGGGCGTGGTGGCATGCACCTGTAGTCCCAGCTACTAGGGAGGCTGAGGCAGGAGAATCACTTGAACCTGGAAGGCGGAGGCTGCCGTGAGCCAAGATCATACCACTGCACTCTAGCCTGGGAGACAGAGCGAGACTCTGCCTCAAAAAATAATAATAATAATAATAACAACACTATATGCCAGGCCATGTTCTAAGCATATTATAGATATTAATTAATCTTCATAACAACCCCACAAAGTGGGTACTATCATTATTTCTATTTTACAGATGAGGTAACTGAGGCATTGGGGGGCTTCTTCTAAATGTTTTAAAGTTTTGGGCATTTAACCAATCTAAAATTTATTTTTGTGTATGACATAGCTAGGAATCCAGTTTTAGTTTTATCATATAATTAACACATTTCTCAGTATTATTTATCAAATAAGCCATCCTTTCCCCATTGATCTGTAATGGCTTTTCTGTCTTATACCAAAATCTGACTCGTACTAGAGTTTCCCAGTCTGTTCTATTGGATACTAGTCTTTCCCCACACCAATACCATATGGATTTAATTATTATGGTGTGGGTTTTGGGGCAGTGATTCTTCTGTCCAAATTCTATTTCTTCAAAGTTGTTTTAGCTAATTTTGGTCCTATGACTTCTGGGATTACCTTGTGAAGTTCTTTTTTATTATCTATCTATCTATCTATCTATCTATCTATCTATCTATCTATCTATCTGAGACTGAGTCTTGCTCTGTCGCCCAGGCTGGAGGGCAGTGGCGTGATCTCGGCTCACCGCAAGCTCACCGCAAGCTCCGCGTCTCAGGTTCACGCCATGCCATTCTCCTGCCTCAGCCTGCCGAGTAGCTGGGACTACAGTCACCCGCCACCATGCCCGGCTAATTTTTGTTTTTTCAGTAGAGACAGGGTTTCACCGTGTTAGCCAGGATGGTCTCCATCTTCTGACCTTGTGATCTGCCCTCTTCAGCCTCCCAAAGTGCTGGGATTACAGGTGTGAACCACCGAGCCCGGCCTACCTTATTAAGTTTTATATAGTATTGCTGGCATTTCGTTATAAGCCCTTTTTAAAACATGCAAATATTTCTGCTGAGTGGCCCCCAAAATCAATATGAATAACTTTGATCAATTTCCTTTGGAGTGAAATAAAGAGTAGCGCCATATTATAACCTAAAAAAGAAATTAATCACCTCAATATCCATCAATACAAGACGAGTTAAATAAACTATGGTATATCCATGTAATGGAATAATATGATGCTATTAAAATGATGAAAAACATGTCTAAGTTAGTCATATAAAACAGATCTCCAAGATATTATTAAGTGAAAAACCAAAGTACAGAACCACATATATACGTTACCTTGGGTGTGAAAAGGAATATAGGAAGTGTATGTTCATGTTTGTTTGTATATTGACTAAGAAGATCTGGAAGGACGCACAAGTTAATAAAGTGGTTCCCTGCGTGTGTTGGCAGGGGTGGGGTAGCAACTGTGTAGACAGGGCAGGGGTGGAAGAATACCTTTCACTGTATGTCTTTTTATGTTTTTTGATTCACAAACCTTGTGATTCTGCTACCTAATTGAAAAAAATAAGTAAATATTCAAATTTTCCTCCAGGAATTCTGTTTGTTTTTGTAAATTAATACTTCTTTAATGTAAAAAAAAATCCAGACAAATTGTGCATTTTTATCATATGTCGTTTTTGTTGGAAGGGGTCAATGAAACATTGGCAATGTAATATAAAGTATCCCAAGTTGGCCTAACATTTTAGGAAGAGAGAAAACCGTAGTCTGTGAATCAAACTAGAACTCAGAAATTCTTATAGGATCAATTTGGAAACCTGAATAGAATTACATGAAATTAATATCTTAAAAAATTAGATGAATAACTTTTTTAGGCCAGGCACAATGGCTCATGCCTGTAATCCCAGCACTATGGGAGGCCGAGGCAGGTGGATCATCTGAAGTCAGGAGTTCGAGACCAGCCTGGCCAACATGGCAAAACCCCATCTCTACTAAAAATACAAAATTAGACAGGTGTGGTGGTGCATGTCTGTAATCCCAGCTACTTGGGAGGCTAAGGCAGAAGAATTGCTTGAACCCAGGAGACAGAGCCAAGATTGCGCCACTGCAATCCAGCCTGGGTGACAGAGCAAGACTGTGTCTCAAAAAAAAAAAAAAAGAAAAAAATAATTTAAAAAAAACTGATTTTTAAAAAAGTTTTAACATTTTTGATTTAAAATTTATGAAAATACGTAGATAAAGGCAGTATTATGCTGTAGCTAGCTCATACTGTCTTTGGAAGGCCCATTGTGCATATCTTTCCCCAGTTTCACATTTAGTGGATAGCATTGGCTATATTAAGAGTATCTATATCATGGAAATTGGCAAAGCTACAAATCAAGGCCTTTTCCCCTCTCCACAAGAGATTCATTTGTTAAATTTACCAGTCTACCACTGGATAGAAGTAAGTTTAAGATATATTAAAGTTCAAAATATACAACCAAACAAGAGATTCTGTGGCACTTGAGACAATTTTAGATAACTGCAACAATATTTGGGGAATAACTTCATGACTGAGGTTTATCTTCTAACACAAGGTTTTCTTCACAGTTGTGCTCTACATGGGTCAAATACAGTTTTAGAATCAGATCCCTGATAAGCTTTCTATTACTTTTTCAGATTTCTCTAATACAAGTTGGAGTATAAATTAAGGTAATGGAAACTCCCATAAAGGTAGGACATATATTATCACTCATAGTATGGAGAATGGGTATTTTTCATATCTTACTGTGTACTATTTTGTATTTCATTTGTTAACTGCCATATCTGCTTCAACTCCTTCAATTAAATTAATAACATGAGGCTGGGCGTGGTGTCTCAAATCTGTAATCCCAGTGCTTTGGGAGGTCGAGGTAGGCAGATCATTTGAGGTCAGGAGTTTGAGACCAGCCTGGCCAACACAGCAAAACCCTGTCTCTACTAAAAAAATACAAAAATTAGCCAGGCGTGGTGGCAGGCACCTATAATCCCTATAACCCTGCACTCAGGAGGCTAAAGCAGGAGAATTGCTTGAACTTGGGAGGTAGAGGTTGCAAAAAGCCAAGATTGCGCCACTGCACTCCAATCTGGGTAACAGAGCAAGACTCTGTCTCAAAAAAAAAAAAAAGAAAAAAAAATTAATAACATGAAAATGTAGCAGAGAGAAAGCAATTTTCTGTGTTATAGAGTATAAAAAATACAATAAATTCATTGCCTAGCACACATATACCAGTAACTCATCAAGTAATAGCCAGATGAATAACTCCTAATTATAATGATTCTTAAAAATACAATGAAAATTAATCTGCAAAATAGAATTTTTAAAAATACAATGAAAACAAATAACTCTTTACTCACCCAATTCAATACAAGTGATGCCAAGTGACCAAATGTCAACTTTCCCATCATACTGTCCTTCATCCATAGCTAAGATCACCTCTGGAGCCATCCTACCAAACATAAGGTACAAAACTCAAGATGTGGATTAAAAATAAAATTTCTCCAGTAAAGTGATTCAATGAAACAGCCGTTCTTAAGGGTATTCTGAAATTGTGTGCTAGAGAGATTATTTCCTTACACAAATAATTTTGAAAACCATTATTCAAAGTATAATCTACTTGGTGATTTACATGACACAATACATTATTTTCAATAAAGACTGGCTCCACCCCTTACTATCAGTTTGATCTCAGGCAAGTTACTTAACCTATCTGTACATCAGTTTCCTCTTCTGTAAAATGGAGATAATTCTCATAGCAACTTTACAGATATTTGTAAAGGATGAATATACATAAAATACTTAAATAATTACTTTGCAAAATCTGATTATATTGCTTTATATAGTTCCATAAAGTATTTTTCATATTGTTTAAAGTAATTAAATAAAGCAATAAATTATTATTATTATTTTTTTTGAGACGGAGTCTGGCTCTGTCACCCAGGCTGGAGTGCAGTGGTGCAAATCTCAGCTCACTGCAAGCTCTGACTCCTGGGTTCAGGCCATTCTCCTGCCTCAGCCTCCGAAGTAGCTGGGACTATGAGTAGCTGGGACTACAGGTACCTGCCACCATGCCTGGCTAGTTTTTTGTATTTTTAGTAGAGACAGGGTTTCACCATGTTAGCCAGGATGGTCTCGATCTCCTGACCTCGTGATCCACCCGCCTCGCCCCCCCAAAGTGCTGGGATTACAGGCATGAGCCACCGCGCCCGGCCTCTTTTTTTGTTGTTGTTGTTGAGAGTCTCACTTTGTAGCCCAGGCTGGGGTGCAGTGGCGCCATCTTGGCTTACTGCAGCCTCTGCCTCCTGGGTTCAAGTGATTCTCATGCCTCAGCCTCTTGAGTAGCTGGGATTACAGGCATGCGCCACCATGCCTGGCCATATTCTTTTAAAATAATTAAACAACATGAAAAATACTTTATGGAGTCATATAAAGCAATATAATCAGCTGTTCCAAAGATACTAAAACCTACAAAAACCCCAGGTTGTGGTAATGGTTACTTTACTTGTTTGTCCATAATGCATCTTCATTAGGAGGGCAGGGGACCTATCCGTTTAATATGCTTTGAACAGAACTGTACTCTATTATGATGTGTAATCTGTTGCTTGGTAAATGTTATTTGGTGATAGAAAAAAAATTCAAAGACTGGCTGATTATTTTTAGTAGGCAAGTAATTTTGCAGAGATCTAAGTCATTCTGTAAGGCATAATGAAATTCCAACGTGTCTAGGAAAGGAAGGAAAAGAATCTGGAAAAGAATAGGGTGAAAAACTCTTGAGCCAGACTGACAAGCTAGTTAACCTATTGGAGAACTCAACAAAGACAAGAACTTGGATTTCTTTCATGAAAGGTACCATCTCTGCTTGTTGACTAGTCAGGGAAGGTAAAAGAAGCTGCCCTGTCCTTACCTGGAGGCTTTTGCCTCAAGAGAAAAGTTCAAAAGAAACTGCAAATGAAATCGAAAACCTGAACTTGGTCAGCGAATTGATAATCCTGCTCAGTTTACACACAGTGACACCAACCTTAATGACACAATTTAAAGTCACTGTAAATTTTATACTAAGCCAGAGTGTTTCTTTTTATGCCAGTGGGTTTTCTATCCTTCTCAAATGAAATTTCATTTTGAGGCACATTGGTAAGACACTGTCACAAAATCAAGCCAAACCAGTACCATGAGTTCATGTATGCAGATTTTAAAACTATGTCATACAGCCTAATTCTACATACCAGTAAGGTGTGCCCACGAAGGAGTTGGCAGGAGAAGCCATTGAGGCAGATCCAAAATCAGCTAGTTTTACCTGACCTGGCTCTGTTAGAAGAATATTTCCTGCTTTAATATCCCTATAGGAAAAAATAAAAGGGTTAGAAAATTACTTTTCAATTTTGATTATGGAATAGGTCAGAGCATGCAATTAATAAGACAAAAAGTTTATTAAAAAACGAAAAACAAAAAAACACCTTGCTCAGATGACCAGGAGATTTAGTAATTACTGTATGTCATAAGGGGCCCAGATTCCTGGGGGTACTTGCAGGTAGGTCACAGTAATTACTTAACAGTAGAGCTTTCTTCAGAGGGAGGGAATACAATGAGAAAAAAGGCAGACATGGCGAACAAGGAAACCTATTCAGCTGCTATACTTATAAAAGCATATTCTTAAAGGCTAAATCCAGTTATCAATAGTATTCCCTGTGCTGAGAAAATTGGTGCCAATTGTAACTGCTTTTCCAAATTATGTGACATTTTTGGAGCCTAAACAAACCTGCAGTGATTCCGTATTGACCACCTACTAATAAACCTCAACTACACACATACCTTTTCTTTCTTGCCTGTGACCCTTTCTCTCTGCCTTTAATTGTAACTGCAACTCTAAGGCATTTGAGGTACATGTTATATAGAAGGTGATATTTTAAAAATAACTCTGTACAGTAAAAAGAAGACCCTGAAAGATCAAAACAAACAAGGATTAGGGGTTAGGAAATTGCATGTCTATTGTACTACTACAAAGAATTGCACGTGGTTACTACTAAAGCTAATAGAGGTATTATATAGTAAAAAGTTTGAAAACTCTAATTGAAAAAATTCATTTTTCAGTATGGTCATTGAGAATGAGAAGGTGTGGATGGATTCCTTATTCTTTTAAAAAAAGGCATGAGGTGTAGCGAGCACTAGAAACCATGAATTGGAAGTTGATGGTCAGTGAAAAGATAAAACAGAGAAGATGAGGAAAATTTATGTCAAGCTGAAAATGATAAGGTTCAAATGCTTCAAAATAACTTTTGTAAAAACTTCCCTTGAAAATTCAGTTTCCTTCCTCATGGTGACATTAGGCATTGGCAGACAGAACTAAAAAAAAATGCATTATTTATTTTTCTTCACAACAGAAACATGTATTTACTTATCTTTAATTAGGAGATTGAATTGCCTTTTAAATCAAAACAATAAAAATCTGAGACATAGTATTTACTTTTAATTTTAAAAAACATTCTTTATAAGTATTTTGACTCTTCAACAAATTATTTTACATACTAAAGAAGATAAAGTATAATAGAGACTAAAACATTAAGTTAATGTCCAGATTAAGGTAATGGCGCAAAAAACTGAACTGTAGCTTTAAATAAGAGCAGGCAAACTAATCACAAGCAAGTTGGCAGTAGTATTAACACCTTGGTACCAAAGACATATATTTACAAAAAGTTGTCAGATCCATAGACATTATGATCATTTTATTTAATCAGTATTTATTAACATGATTAGGTTCACTCTTTGTCCTTCATTCCCAGCAGGATTTCGGTCTGCCTATCTTTAGGAAGTTCTGCTTTTGTGGTACCAGTAAAGTGGTCATGGCTACACTGGGGTGATTAAAACAGAAGCAAAAGAGGAACCATAACCCAATAGTTTCACTTCTTCCTAGTAAATGCCAGTTGTTTTCTTTCATTTGTGAGGCATCTCAGATTCTTTATACCTACCTAATATTTCACTACTCCTCCCCTCATTCACTAATGTAACTGTACTAAAAGTTCATTACTGAGAGGAGGAAAGATTGGTAGCATCTTTCTCTAGAAGTTAATGGAGGGAGGGAGGTTGCAGGGAGGAGAATGGTGTTGTGGTAGAGAAAATACAAGGCAGAGAAAAGCCCTAGAATAGGAGTTAAGAAACTTGAGTTTCAATCCTGAATATATTACTTAAATTCTGTGAAACTCTGGGCAAGTTAAGTCTTTCTGAGCCCTGGTCTCTTCATCTGCCAAAATACAGTAAGGATAATATCTTCCTAAGTATCCATATGAACTATACAGAAATATGAAATATTTTAAAGTTACAAAATAGCATATATTTATATAAGACTAGCTTGTTATTTGTAATAGGAAGGGACAATAACTCTGCTAAGAGATAAATATATGCAGGGAAGGTTAATTTTCTTTTCTTTTCTTTTCTTCATGATACAGTATCTAAAGATTGCTGGGCCCCTTTACAAATTTCCCTGCAACACTTAGCCTGGAGAACAGTTACCTACGGAACAAAGATGATATAATTGTGGATACATAGGAGAGAATAAGAGATAGAAGCTAAATTCTGGCAACTTTATCCTTTATATCCAGAAGCAGCAATCTATTTGCTTCCCATAAATGCTTAGGCAACTTAAATTGGAGCATGCACTAATTTTCAAGGTTCCTGGAATACACAGTCCTGTAACTGAAATGAAACATAACTGGTCTCTAATCTTACCTATGAATCAATGCATGAGAATGTAGGTAGGCTAGTCCATGCAAGGCTCCATGAGTAATGGCAGCGATCTCCACTTCCTGAAGTGGTTTTTTATGAACTGAGGAAGGGAAAAAAAAAAAAAAAAAGTCAGTAGATGATCAGTTTCATTCCTCATTTTATTATTTTCTACAGCTATACCAGACTGAGTTACATACTTTCTCACATGACAATTTGGGAACACGTTCACCTAAATATATAGGATACAGATTTTCTATAGAAGAGAATAAGTGATCAGACAACAGGAAACCCAAGTGCATCAACACAAATGACCCTTCAAAACAAAAACAAAACAAAGCCTGATATTCCTTAAATGATATATTGTTAATTTACTTATCAGTTGCAAGCCAAGTCACACTGATTCCAATTAACCAGGCCCAAATTAACCAGTCCCTTCCAACATTTTAAATGTCTGGAGTGTTCTAGGTTATATTACTCTCCCCTGCCTCAAAGCCATCTTTAATTACCCCTTCAAACTACAGGTTTTCATTATTTGTGAAAGCAGCTAATAAGCAATTTCTATTCAGAGATCAACAGTGATTAAATTTTTTTTTTTTTTTTGAGACAGGGGTCTCACTCTGTTATCCAGGCTGGAGTGCAGGGTTCCTATCAAAGCTCAGTGCAGCCTTGAACTTCTGGGCTCAAGTGATCGTCCTGGCTCAGACTCCTAAGTAGCTGGTATTACAGGTGTTAGCCTCTGTGCCTGGCTCAAGATATTTTTTTTTTAAGTAAATTTTTAACACAGCCTCTGGTTATAGCAGCATCTGCAGAGAGGAACTGGGTCAGTAAAGATTTCCGAAAGGGTGTAATATCAATATAATGTGAGACTGTCTCTCTTTCACATATATCCATCAATATGATGTTTTTGGCTACACATACCGTATCACATTAGCCAAACATTTTGGTAGTACCTGCCCTGGATGGGCCATGAACTAAAACAGCAGGAAGACTGCTAACATCACTCAGACACTTTCAGTGGCATTGAAGAGATGAAGTGTGCATAGCTTATCCACACAACCCTAAAGCCCAAGCCATCGTTCAATTAGTCTGCCCAAACTACACTTTAGTATGGTGGTAGATAATATTCTGATAGAAGTAAAACAGAAAGGAGAGTTTAATTCCTTCTTTCTTACCTTCTAATAAATCAGAGGCTGAGCCTAAGCAATATTCCATCACCAACTATAAGAGATTAAAATAATATTCAGAATAATGAAAGTTAATTAAAAAACCACGGAAACCAACTAACCAACCAACCAAGGAACTAAGAATACTAGGTGAATAAATATTCTGATCTACTTCAACTTGGACTGAATTTTCGTCATCTGGCACTAATTGATTTTTATAATTTTCACCATCTCACTTTTTATTATTTCTTGCTTGAAATTGGCCTAAAGATTATTGGGGGACTAGATATAGAAATATTTACTATAAATGGTGAAGCCAAGATTGCCAATTTATTTATTAACTCCTTCACTACTGTATTTCAAAAAGGATTCAGGTGACTATGTTGTACTATAAATTTGTAACTCAGAAAGTGGCAAACAAATACATGAGCCAGTAAAATCTATATTGGGGTTATACCAGTTACATAAAATAAACCAGTAAGTAGTAAATTCCTTTTTCTCACCCTTAAAAAAGTTTTAAACAAGAAACAGATATAATTTTGAACTGAATCTGAAGATGTAGCCTGCTATGTATCATTACATTACCTTGAATCCCTGAGATATATGTGTTATTTAAATTTAGATCTTAAAATATTTCCAGAATAATATTATAATACTATTGATAGGCTGGGTGCAGCAGCTCACGCCTATAATCCCAGCACTTTGGGAGGCTGAGGCAGGCGGATCACCTGAGGTCGGGAGTTCAGGACCAGCCTAGTCAACATGGTGAAATCCTATCTCCACTAAAAATACCAAAAATTAGCTTGGTGTGGTGGCTTGCACCTGTAGTCCCAGCTACTTGGGAGGCTAAGGCCGGAGAATCACTGGAACTCAAGAGGTGCAGGTTATTGATAGTTATTGGGTTTGCAATCTGTGGAGGCTTTCTAAAAGTAAAAATGAGAAACCTCTTTCTTTACTCTTTTTTTTTTTTTTTTTGAGACGGAGTTCACTCTTGTTGCACTTGTTGGAGTGCAATGGCACAATCTCGGCTCACCGCAACCTCCGCCTCCTGGGTTCAAGTACTTCTCCTGCCTCAGCCTCCCGAGTAGCTGGGACTACAGGCATGCACCACCACGCCTGGCTAATTTTGTATTTTTAGTAGAGACAGGGTTTCTCCATATTGGTCAGGTTGGTCTCAAACTCCTGACCTCAGGTGATCTGCCCGCCTTGGCCTCCCAAAGTGTTCGGATTACAGACATGAGCCACCACGCCTGGCCTCTTTCTTTACTCTTATCCTAGATTTTTAGGTGTCCAAGACTACTGATTTGTAGTCAAGGTCAAAACTATCATGGCTCAGCAACCAATCTCCACACACACATGCAAGCATTCACACTCCTACAAATTATTACTTTGTTATAAAAGAATAGTACATGCTTATCACGAAATATAAATTTCCTATAATAAACTAGACAAAACCAATATCAACATATTGGTTCCTTTCATTAAAAAAATTAATGTGAAAATATATTTATATGTATTATGTACCTTGCATTACTGAGATAATTTAGAATATGAGAAGTCTAGAAGTTTAAAATTTAGAAACTATTATACTTTTGCAGTTATATATTATAAATATCAATATATCAATATCAATACATAATATGAACATATTAATATTATAAATATAAGTGTACTATCTCTATATTATATGGAATGCAATTAAATTAGATGTAACATATGTATAATACTATAATAGTTACATATTACATAAAATTATGTCTTATATGTTATAGTTTTACAGTTATATATTTATGTAGTATGTACTTTGCATTTCTGGAATAATTTAGAACAATGAAAGGTTTAGAAGTTTAAAATTTAGAAACCATACTATAGTTTTCTGCTTGACATTAAAAACAAATAGATTCAGAAACATTAAACTTATTTCTTATTAAGAAATGGAAGATTCCACATGAGTAAATGTTATAATGAACACTAGCCTTTATGTGCCCTACTTTTTCTTTAATCAATTTTGATGGAAGCATTTCTAAATTTTATCACATAATTTTCTAATTTTTAAAAGTAACTGAATATGCATATGTAACCTCCTTAAACCGAGTACATGAAATGTGAATATAGAACTTTAAAATTGAATAGAATGAATGTGTTTCTAGCTGCATTAAATTTTTTAAGTTACATGTTTAAAAACTCAGCATTTTTGTCACAAATATTTTTTCCCCTATTATTCTGTAACACAAAGGCACCTGAGTTGGTTGTTTGCTCCTGACACTAAACAGCTCTGGCTGCTCTGCCTTTAAATTATTAGGTCTGCTTTCTAGCTCCCCTGACTTTTTCCGTATGGTCAAATTATTCTTGTGCCTGCTTGTATGCATGTATCTAACAGCTCAGTTCCTTACAGCTGTTTCTGATTGGTCTATCAGATCAGTTGTAGACAGAAACCAGGTAGCCAAGCTTATTAGCAGTCTATATAATCCAAGAATAAATGAGTGGCTGGGTGCAGTGGCTCAGGCCTGTAATCCCAGCAGTTTGGGAGGTCAAGGTGGGTGGATCACCTGAGGTCGGGAGTTTGAGACCAGCCTGACCAACATGGAGAAACCCCGTCTCTACTAAAAATACAAAATTAGCCAGGCATGGTACTCGGGCGGCTGAGAAAGGAGAATCACTGGAACCCAGGAGGTGGAGGTTGCGGTCAGCCGAGATCGCGCCATTGCACTCCAGCCCGGGCAACAAGAGCAAAACTCTGTCTCAAAAAAAAAAAAAAAAAAAAAAAAAACCCAGAGAAAACAAGCTTCAAGTAACAGTGTGGAGGATTTTCTGAAGACTTGAAATACATGAGATTTTAGCACTTGGATTTTGTAACATTGATTCTGCCTGCGTGAAATCCCTTTCTTGACTCCTTCAAGACAGCTGAGATTGCCAGAGAACTGATTTCTAGATAATGAGATACTTCTTTGATTAATTTCTTATTTTCAGAATGGAATCAATAGCTCTACATAAGAGTTGCTTGAACAGAAATGTATATGTTTGTATACTGTTTGATAGTCTATTTAGGAACAAAATTTCCATTCCATAATTAGAGATCACATACAGGAAAGGAGTTGGTACATGGTAAACAATAAATGTTAAACTGGAGTTTAAGTAGGAATGTACAATTTGATAAAGTAGAAAACATAACATTTTCATGTCCTAAATGTGCCTAATGTGCCAACCTAAAGCCAGAAATACAATCATATAAAAATATACTAAGGGCCGAGCACAATGGCTCATGCCTGTAATCCCAGCATTTTGGGAGGCTGAGGCAGGTGGATCACCTGAGGTTAGGAATTCAAGACAAGCCTGGTCAACATGGTGAAACCCTGTCTGTACTAAAAATACAAAAAATTAGCTGGGTGTGGTGGCGTGTGCCTGTAGTGCCAGCCACTTGGGAGGCTGAGGTTCAAGAATCACTTGAACTCGGGAGGCAGAGGTTGTAGTCAGCTGAGATCGTACCACTGTACTCCCGCCTGGGCAACAAGAGTGAAACTCTGTCTCAAAAAGAAAAAAAGAAAGAAAAAGAAAAAAAAAATATATGTGTGTGTGTGCGCGCGCATGCATATATATATACACACACACACATATATATCACACTAAGATGACAGAGTGTTACAAAAGTCTTTTATTTTAATCATATGGTGGCCCCATAGCAATTAAAACATCAAGGACAATTCCAAATATGGGGGAACTGGAGTGGAGGATGAGAAATGACAAAGATAAAAATTCTAGGATGAGAATATAAGGCTGGGCCTTTTACTTTTACAAACATATAATTATAAAATGATGTCAACTTTTCACCATCTCTTTTCGAGTGTTTATAGAATGGAATTTCCATATGCTAGATATCATTTAATCTTATGGAATGTATACCATATGACACACCAAGGTATTAACAAATGTTAAATACTGATAACAAAAATTAAATGGAACAGAAATGAAATTAATAGTTCTATTATCAAATAGGTAATAGAAAAAAAGAAAAAAAAAGTAACAGTAAAAGATAGATAACAGAGGTCCTTCGACTTACCCAAGCAGTGTGCTCTTTCAAGTAACAGCCTTTGTACTCAATAGTATTAGGATGCTTCAATTGTCGTAAAAATTTAACTTCCTTAAGAATATCTTGCCATTTCTATTGAAGTCAGAAAGGAAACATTTTAATTTAATTTTTGATAGGAAAACAGTATTTCCTATCAAGCATACATATATATTATTTATATTATTTATTATAAATGGACATAAAGTAAATGTTTAATAAATGAAGAAGCTATTTAAACATGCTATTTATCTCTCTCTTTTTTTTTTTTTTTGAAACAGTGTCTTGCTCTGTTGCCCAGGCTGGAGTGCAGTGGCGTGATCTCGGCTCACTGCAACCTCCGCTGCCCAGTTCAAGGTTCAAGTGATTCTCGGGCCTCCCAAGTAGCTGGGACTACAGGCGTGCACCACCAGACCGAAGTAATTTTTTTGTATTTTTAGTAGAGATGAGGTTTCTCTGTGTTGGCCAGGTTGGTCTCGAACTACTGACCTCAGGTGCTTTGCCTGCCTCAGCCTCCCAAAGTGCTGGGATCACAGGTTTGAGACACTGTGCCTGTCCTAAACATGCTATTTCTTTAGTTTGAATACATGTAAACACAAATCTATCACCAAAAACATTACAAAAAAGCCATTACACATACCTATATTCTGGTCTGCAAAATAGTTTTTTTTTTCTCTTTTCAGGCACCCAGGCTAGAGTACAGTGTTGCAATCATGGCTCACTGAAGCCTTCATGTCCCAGGCTCAAGTAATCCTCCCAACTTCAGCCTCCCGAATGGCTGGACTATAGTCACACACCACCACACCCAGCTAGTTTTTTTGATGTTTTGTAGAGGTGGGGTCTCACCATATTGCTCAGGCTTGTCTTGAGCTCCTGGGCTCAAGTGATCCTCCAGCCTTGGCTTCCCAAAGTGCTGGGATTACAGGCCTGAGCCACCTCAACCAGCCTGCAAAATAGTTAATTGAGCTAGAACATTAGCCTTTTTAAAAATAATTATGAATGTTCACACATTTGTATGAAAAACTCCAGAATCTTTTATTATATGCTCCACAAGAAGGAAAAAAAATTGTTCTAAAAAAGGTTTAAAGAATTTTGTTAATTTCGTACTAACTTGCTTATTTCAGTTTAGGTGTACAACTGTCTCTATCTTACCTCATGGGTCTGCTTCCCACTATAGGACATCTTCTTAATTGCCACCACTTCATTGGTATGAGCATTTGTAGCCTGTGTTCAGAGGGTAGAAGACAAAGAAAAAGAATTAGTGATGTTTCAGCCAATTTAACTTAAATATTTGACTAGAGACTATTTATTTATATATTTATTTATTGACAGTCTCACTCTGTCCCTCAGGCTGGAGTGCAGCTCACTGCAACCTACACCTCTTGGGTTCAAGCAATTCTCCTGTTTCAGCCTCCCAAGTAGCTGGGATTACAGGCACGCACAACCATGCCAAGCTAATGTTTTTTGTATTTTTAGTAGAAAGGGGGTTTCACCATGTTGACCAGGCTGGTCTTGAACTCCTGGCCTCAAATGATCCACCCGCCTTGGCCTCCCAAAGTGCTGGGATTGATTATAGGTGTGAGCCACTGCACCTGGCAGCTAGAGACTTTTTTGTTTTATTTTATTTTTGGAGACGGGAGTCTAACTGTGTCGCTCATGCTTGAGTGTACTGGCATGATCTTGGCCCACTGCAGCCTCCGCCTCCTAGGTTCAAGCTATTTTCCTGGTTCAGCCTCTCAAATAGCTGGGATTACAGGCACCCACCACCACGCCTGGCTAATTTTTGTATTTTTAGTAGAGACAGGGTTTCACCATGTTGGCTAGGCTGGTCTCAAACTCCTGACCTCACGTGATCCACCTGCCTCGGCCTCCCAAAGTGCTTGGATTACAGACGTGAGCCACCGTAACTGGCCTGATGTTATTATTTAAAATAATATCTCCGTACTGCAGTATCACAGTTCAAAGATGCTTCAATTTTTGATAGGCTAAATAGACATTTCCACTCCCATTTTAATGTATAGTTTTTCTGTATCCTTTTCTGGATACATGCAAAGATTGTAATATAAAAAATGATTAGGGTTTAATATATCAAACCAAACAAAAAAGTCATATTCCCAAATTATCCATACTGGCTTCACCTTGTAGACTGTCCATCAATGGAGAACCAGTTAAATAAATAAATATGATATGACCATATAATGAAATAACCACTTAAGGAACGAGGTAATCTATGTGCAATGTAATATGAAAGGATGTTAAAAATGTTTTTGTCATAAACAAGCTATAAAGCAGAATCCAATTTTTGCAAAATAGTAATAATGTGAGTATATGTGTAGAAAAAAATCATAAAAGAATTTATACCAGAATATATATCAATGATAATCCCTGGAGCAGTGTTATCTGATAGAACTTTCTATGATGATGGGACAGTTCTATTTCTAGATTGTCCAACAGAGTAACATGTGAAATGTGGCTAGTGTGACTGAGAAAATAAATTTAAAATTTTATTTAATTTTAGTTAACTTAAATTTGAATAGTTAATGTGCCTACTTGCTATTGTATTGAACAGTATAGCAGAAAGTAAGATTAATCCTAAGGGGGACTCTCGTTTTCAGGATTACTTACATTTTATAATAAGACTGTATTACATATAAACATCTCTACATTTATGTATGTATATATGCGTATTTTTTATCTATAGAGGTTGCCTTGTCTCACGTCTACTTGTCTTCTCCATACTCCAAATATAACTGTTCATTGAAAGTACATATGAAAACCATTAATAATTCAAGTAATAGTCTTTTCCTCTCAACTTACTCAAGATATACATACATATGTATACACACACACACACACACACACACACAGTTTTTTTTTTTTTAAAGACAGGATCTTGCTCTGTCATCTAGGCTGGAGTGCAGTGGTACAATCTCAGCTCACTGCAACCTCTGCCTCCCAGGCTCAAGCAATCCTCCCAACACACCCTCTTGAGTAGCTGGGATTACAGGCACCCACCATCACGCCAGGCTAATTTTTATATATGTAGTAGAGACAGGGTTTCACCATATTGGCCAGGCTGGTCTCAAACTCCCGGCCTCAAGTAATCTGCCCACCTCAGCCTCCCAAAGTACTGGAATTATAGGCATGAGCTACTGTTCCCAGCCTCAACTTATTTAAAATATTTAAAACTATTAGTTTTCTTAAAATTTTCATAAAAATAAATACAAGACATTAAAAGACTACTCCTGCATCAGTGCCATAACCCTAATGTAGGTAAGCTATTTTGCTTCTGTGATATTATTATCATTGTGGACCAATAAACTTATCGCAGTGGTTCTGAAGTAAAAGATTGGAATTCATTCACTGATAAAGTCAGGTTAACAATTTTAGAGAAAAATTTATAATCATTTTCTTAAATACAACTAATTTAAAATGAACCTCCTCAGATATAACAATGGTTTATGATTTTTAAAAATGGTTAATTCAAACAATAAACAATAATGTACTATGTAAAAATAATTTGACCACAGATTCTTACGGAATGTCAAAATGAAAAAAAAAAAACCCACAATAACATACTACAAGAGATTTTTTTAAACAAGCATTAAAAGTACCTATTATATATTAATGAGTTATCCACTAGTCATAATTTTCAGATCTGCAGAACTCCACAAAAGCATATTTTAGATATTTTATTGATTTAGAAAGTACAGACTGACTTTTGTTAAAAACAAAAATCTCTCACACTGTTCTGGCTTTTAAACTTTAACACCAAACTGTGCTTATACAGCAATCACAAATAAAAGCTGATGTAAGTTCAGTATTACAATGAAGGTTAGAGGGACTATATCTGAAAAATAGATACCTGAGGCATCTATATATATAGTGCAGCTTAAGAAGCCTGGGAAAGATTTAGGAAATATTGAGGCAACGAGAAATTTTACTTTGTGAGGTTTTAAAAAATAATTAACCATTACTAAAAAAAAGAAAAGCCCACGAAATAAAATCATATAGTATTATTTAATTGCTTATTAAGGTTATTTATAATCAATGCTATATTTAGACCTAAAAACATGAAAAAATAACCACCCTAAAATAAAAATATATTTCTTACATTTATAGGATAATCACTGACTAGAACTTAATGCTTCTACTCACTTATACATCCTAATGTATAGGCAGAGACTTGAAATTTGAACAACATTTCCATGTTGATTATTCTATAGATGTGAACTTTTTAGTGCAAATGTTGATTATGCTATAGATGTGAACTTTTTATACTGGCTAAAAGTCAAAACATGCTAGATTGAAACTTAACAAACAAACAAAAAATCAATGTTTTAGTACAGAAAAAGGAAAGTATCAATGGGGTCTCAGCTTTCCAGTGCATACAGTATTATGAATGACTACAGCCTCTATCATTTCAAGTTTTATTCTTGAAACTCACATTCATGGTCTCAGTAACTATTCCAATAGTCTCAATGGTCTCAGTAACTATTACCAAGATCATTGATGGAAGAAATACTTATTAAGAGCTTACTATTATGTGTTTATATTTTTAAACATTTTACAGCTATACCTTTTGCTATTTTATAGACAAATATAAAAAATTATGTTAATTTAGGAGGCAGATCAGGCGTGGTGGCTCACTCCCGTAATCCCAGCACTTTGGGAGGCCAAGGTGGGTGGATCACCTGAGGTCAGGAGTTCGAGACCAGTCTGGCCAATATGGTGAAAGCCTGTCTCTACTAAAAATACAAAAATCAGCAGGGCGTGGTAGCACATGTCTGTAATCCCAGCTACTTGGGAGGCTGAGGCAGGAGAATTGCTTGTACCCAGGAGGCAGAGGTTGCAGTGAGCCAAGTTTGTGCCACTGTACTCCAGCCTGGGTGACAGAGTGAGACTTTGTCTAAAAAAAAAAAAAAAAAAAAAATAGGAGGCTGAGGCAGGAGGATCACTTGAGCCCAGGAGTTTGGAACCAGCCTGGGCAACATAGCAAAACCGTCTCTACAAAAAAATTAAAACCAAAATTAGCTGGGTGTGGTGGCACACGCTTGTAGTCCTAGCTACCTACTCAGAAGGCAGAGGCAGTAGGATTGCTTGAGCCCAAGGGTTCAAGGTTATAGTGAGCTATGATCACACCACTGCACTCCAGCCTGGGTGACAGAGTGAGAGACCCTGTCTTTAAATAAATGAATAAATAAAAATTTAAAAAGTGAAAAAGCTTTTCTTTTTGCCCTACTTTTTGATCCCCAACTAAAAGGTAATTATATCTAGAAAGACAGAACTAAACTATTTGCTTTAGGTGGGTTATGGATAATATACTGAGTTCAAAAAAGGTGATCTAGAAACCTACAAACTTTAGAGTTGTGTTTAGGTGAATACAAAAATGAACATGCTCAGTCCTTTTTTGGTTTGTTTTCCTTTAGTACAGTTTCTTACTATTTCATTTGTTAATGCTGCTAATTTATTTTTCATTTAAAAAATTTTTTTTTTAGAGATGGGTTCCCACTATGTTGCCTGGGCTGGTCTCAAACTCCTGGGCTAAATGATTCTCCCATCTTGGCCTCCCAAAGTGCTGGGATTACATGCGTGAGCCACAACGCCCAGTCAATGATGCAAATTTCAAAATTACTTATGTAAATCCAAACACACAGAAATATTTCATCAAGTTAATAATTTCTGTTTTCTCTGAATGTAACATATACTCTCAGCTGATTGATTTTACAAGAGCTGTTTATTCCCTGGCAGTATTTAGTGTAAAAGCTGTGACCTACGGAGGCTAACAGAATTATAGTGTTTAGGTATAAAAATACAAGCAGCTAGACTCTAGTGTTTATGGCCAGCATGACTATGACTTATGAAAAGTACTAATTAGCAGTACCAAGTTCTCAGAGTTCTTCATCATTCATTCATTCAACAAATACTTACTAGCTGCCCACAATTTATCAGGAATTGGGCTAAGTGCTAGGGCTAAGATAGTGAGTTAATATGCCCAGTACCTATCTCTCCTCTAGGAGGATAGACAGTAACAAAAATAAAATGATAAAAGACAAAATGTAAAACTGCATTTGTGATATGTGCCACAAAGAAGGGTATGTGTTACTTTGAGAACCAACAATGGTGGATGTGACTTAGGGAGGTCAGGAAAGCCTTCCCTGAAGAAATGAGGTTTAGGCTGAGAGCTAAATGATGAACAGGAGTTAAGAAGGTGAAAATAGAAGGGAGAAATTGTTCGAGAGAGAACAGTTTATGCAAGATTCCAGGAAGGATGATGAGAAGAAAGGAATCAGAGCTATAGCAATGAGAATGAGAGAGAAGATAGTTCAGGTAGAGATGGGGTCTATGAAGGACTTTGTGGGCTGGCTATAGTAGGGATTTTGATCTTGGCCTAAGAGCGAGGGAGAGCCCCTAAAGGCTTTATAGGGAAAGGGGATGTGATCAGATTTACATTTTTTTTTTCAAGCTCACTGAGGTATGCACAACAGACTAAAGAGAGACCAAAGCAGGCAACCATAGTTGTCCAAATAAGAGATAACAGAGTTCAGCCGGGCACGGTGGCTCACGCCTGTAATCCTAGCACTTTGGGAGGCCGAGACGGGCGGATCACGAGGTCAGGAGATCGAGACCATCCTGGCTAACACGGTGAAACCCCGTCTCTACTAAAAATACAAAAAAATTAGCCGGGCGAGGTGGCGGGCGCCTGTAGTCCCAGCTACTTGGGAGGCTGAGGCAGGAGAATGGTGTAAACCCAGGAGGCGGAGCTTGCAGTGAGCTGAAATCCGGCCACTGCACTCCAGCCTGGGCGACAGAGCGAGACTCCGTCTCAAAAAAAAAAAAAAAGAGATAACAGAGTTCTTCCTAGTTATAATGGTGTAAGTAACAAAAGGAAAAATCTATTAGCAGGGAGTAAGAAGCAACATATATAAATATTACTTTAGCCAACAGGAAAATCCATTTTTAGGATACTGCCGATGTGACCACTACAGATAAAACGTTAAAGCTTTTTGTAAGTTTTATAGTACAGTGTCAGTTAATTCCCTTTTAATCTGTTTTTTAGTGCTTTATGGGTATACATAGGCCTGTACTTTTCACATTTATATACAGGCCCTATACAGTTAATGATTACGTTTATCACTGCCACTCTGGTACCTGTATCATTCCTCTAGTCTATCATTAGCAACAAATAATATATATTTAGTGTCCACTGTAAATGGGATGGTGCCAGCCTTTAGAGTTGTAAAGAAACATAAGAAATAGTCCTCATCTTCAAAAAAGCACATACTCTAGCTAAATAGACAGGGCTTAGCCCAAAAAGCAAATAAATCACTAGGTCTTCTGCAGCCTACTACAAGGTAGGTTTCCTTTTGCCACTATTATAAATGGCTTTTAGTAAGTTTCAAAGCATGTGTGGTTTATTGTAGTCATTCTGAAATATTAGCACTTTAAGAAGGGTTTGGTTGCTTTTTAAATAAGAAGAGTCAAATAGAGACTGACTTTTGCCAGGAGAGATTCTGAGATGAATTAGATTTAAAGTAATAGAAGAAAAGAAAGCAAAGATGACTGAAGAATGCATCTGTAAGCAAAACAAACAGGTTACAAATGAAAATATACAGAATGTTTACATTTTTAAAAAGTTCAAAACTAAGCAAAACAATTCACATTGTTTAGGAGTACAGAGTAAGTGGGTTATAAATATAAAGAAAAGTAAGAAAATAATCACCATAAGAATCAGAATAGTGGATACTCCTGAGGGGAGGGAGAGGGTTCTGACTGAAGAGGACATAAAGAGGGGCTTTTGGGATGCTGGCAGTATTCTATTTCTTGACCTGGGTGGTGTTTTTACATAGAGATTTACCTTTTAATTCTTTCTTAAGCTATATATTTATATATATATAGTGTATACTTCTTTATGTATACTTATGATAAAAACGGTTTGTAACAAGAGGGTCTGTGACTAAAGAAGACAGAATTTTGGGCCTTAAATGCTATTCTGACTACACACTAACATGGGAGTGTTAACTAGGAAATTAGCACCCTTTCCAGCCAAAACGATCTTTTATTGTATTTAATGACAAAATATACTTCAGTGGGAGCCAAGTTATTGATGGCAGTTAGGGAAGCAGAAGTAATGGTAGGGCTGAGTATAGACACAGTGGTTGAGAAACAGTTTAGAGAAAATCCAGGATGAAGATTTGGCTAGAAACAAAAGGACAAAGTAAAGATGCAATTCATAAAATCTCATTTGGAAGGACAACTAAAGATAAGCCCTATCCAGAACATAAAGGACGACTTAAAAGGAAGAGGCAATACTGTTTGATTACATAGAAATTATTTGATTACAAGTTTGGGGAAGTAGGTAATAATTAGTACTTAACTTACTATTTGTTTTAATGGACTATTATGCTTAAGGAAGTATCTGTTACTTTAATAAAGCAACTAAGGTTATCAAGATTAAATTAAATAACTATATATTCTGGTCAGGCACGGTGGCTCACGCCTGTAATCCCAGCACTTTGGGGAGGCTGAGGCGGGTGGATCACCTGAAGTCAGGAGTTTAAGACCAGCCTGGCCAACATGGTAAAACCCCCTCTCTACAAAAATACAAAAATTAGCCTGGCATGATGGCAGGTGCCTGTAATCCCAGCTACTCAGGAGGCTGAGGTTGGAGAATTACTTGAACCTGGGAGGTGGAGGTTGTAGTGAGCCGAGATTATGCCAGCACATTCCAGCCTGGGCGACAGAGCAAGACTCCTTAAAAAGCAAGACTGTCTTAAAAACAACAACACAACAACAACAACAACAAAACAGGGCCCGGCGCAATGGCTCACACCTATAATCCCACCACTTTGGGAGGCTGAGGTGGGCAGATCACGAGGTCAGGAGTTCAAGACCAGCCTGGCCAACATGGTGAAACCCGGTCTCTACTAAAAATACAAAAATAAGCTGGGCATGGTGGCACATGCCTGTAATCCCAGCTACTCGGAAGGCTGAGGCAGGAGAATTGTTTGAACCGGGATCCAGGAGGTGGAGGTTGCAGTAAGCCGATATCGTGCCACTGTACTCCAGCCTGGGCTACAGAGCGATACTCTTGTCACAAACAACTGTATTTTATGTAATGAATTTCAGGTGAATAAGCTGTGTTAAAATTTTGGCTATCTGTTTTTCTCATCAGAAGACAGTCACATTCTTGTAACTAAAACTGATTCCAGGGGGACAGCCTTGTACTCCTTAACCGAAAATACTGACTTGACATGATTGCCACTAAAAATCACTGTTAGTTCCTTTCTCTGAATAGTTGTCTGTTCATCTGTTTATCTGTCTATCCATCTATCCATCCATCTATCCACCCACCCAGTATTTATCAAATTCCTACTACTGTTTTTAGGTAGTAAGCATATACTAGTTCTTGAGAATATAACGACGAACAAGATAGACATAACTCCTGTCCTCATGACACTTGTTATTTAGGGAAAAAGACATATATAAAGCAAAAAATCATATATGTAATTATTTTATTACAACTGTGATAAATGCAACAAAATATAAGCACAAGATGTTATGAAATCATAACATATTGATTTAGGGGTGGAGGCTTGAAGAGTAAAGGGTATCTTGCAAAAGTAACACTTAAGGTAAAACTTGTAGGATGAACAGACAGGGATGGGGATGTAATGTGCAGAGTTTCCTAGGCGGGAGGAATAGCATATACAAGGCTCTGAGGCAGGAAAGAGCTTAGCATACAATGAAAATGCACAAAATTCAACTTCAAGCTCTTAACTTTTTTTTTTTTTTTTTTGAGACGGAGTCTCACTCTGTTGCCTAGGCTGGAGTGCAATGGCACGGTCTCGGCTCACTGCAAGCTCCACCTCCCGGGTTCATGCCATTCTCCTGCCTCAGCCTCCTGAGTAACTGGGACTACAGGCGTCCGCCACCATGCCTGGCTAATTTTTTGTTTTCGTATTTTTAGTAGAGATGGGGTTTCACTGTGTTAGCCAGGATGGTCTCGATCTCCTGACCTCATGATCTGCCCACCTCGGTCTTCCAAAGTGCTGGGATTACAGGCATGAGCCACCGCGCCTGACCAAAGCTCTTAACTTTCTTATACTACTTTAATAGGTGAGTCAGTTCATATAAATACCACTGAATTGAATAAAGCCTAGGATTCTGGAACTGGCTTTTCAGCAATGACTATTTGCTTCTACTGTAGATATCATTTAATTTATAGAAAAATCACTGAAACCAAGCTTATTTTACGAGCAATAGCTATGTGTAGAGAACATGTTGAGTTCAAACTTTATTTTATTTTAGTTTTTTGTAGAGACAGGGTCTTGCTATGTTGCCTAGGCTGGTCTTGAACTCCTGACCTCAAGCGATCCTCCCACCTTGGCCTTGCAAAGTGCTAGGATTACAGGTGTGAGTCACCATGCCAGGCCTAGAGTCCAACCTTTCTTAATCTGATCTATCTAAACAACTCCTTTAAGTACTTACAAAATAAACTGCTCCAAAACTTCCATGTCCAATTTCATGCAAACCAATAAAAAGTTCCTCAGGATCATCTTTGTAGAATAGATCGGCAATCTCTGGGTCCTTCAACACCCCTTTACGCATGATGGCCAGTAGAGCAGGCACTCTGCTTTTTGATATCACAGTTAGCTTTATTTCTCATTGACAATTTTTTTGGGGGGGCGTAAATCTTCAGTACCTGTAGAAAAATAAGATTTGCCATTAAATTATTTCTAACACGTTTTACTTGGTGGCAATACAAATACATGCAAATATTAAAAAACCTCTTGGTCTCACAACTCAATAACAAAAGGACAAAAAAACCCAAATAAAGAACAGACAACGGCCAAGTGCAGTGGCTCATGCCCGTAATCCCAGCACTTTGGGAGGCTGAGGAAGGCAGATCACCTGAGGTCGGGAGTTTGAGACCAGCCTGACCAACATGGAGAAACCCCGTCTCTACTAAAAATACAAAAAATTAGCCGGGTGTGGTGGCGCATGCCTATAATCCCAGCTACTCGGGAGGCTGAGGCAGGAGAATCACTTGAACCTGATTCAACCTGGGAGGCAGAGGTTGCAGTGAGCCAAGATCGCGCCACTGCACTCCAGCCTGGGTAACAAGAGCGAAACTCTGTCAAAAAAAAAAAAAAAAAAAAAAAAAGAATGGACATAGGATTTGAATAGACATTTCTCCTAAAAGATACACAAATGACCATTAACATATGAGAAGATCCTCAAACATCATTAGTTATTAGAGAAACGAAAATTAAAACTACAGTGAGATACCATTGCATACTCACTAGGACAGTGATAGTCAAAAAGTAAGATAAATGTTCATGAAAATGCTGAGAAATAGAGCCCTCTAACACTACTGGTGGCTGTGCCATTTTAGAAACAGCCCCGCAGTTCATAACAAACTTAAATATCGAGTTACCATTTGACCCAGAGTTTCCACTTCTAAGGACACGAAAGAAATGAAAACATATGTTCACACAAAAACTTGTGCACAAATGTTCATAGCACCATTATTCATAATAACCAGAAGGTGGAAACAGCCCAAATGTCCATTAACTGGTGGAAGAATAAACAAAATGTGGTATATCCATATAATGGAATATTATTCAGCAATAAAAAGGAATGAAGTATTGGTACAGGCTGCAACATGAATGAACCTTGTAAAAATTATGCCAAATGAAAGTACCAGTCACAAAAGACCATATATTGTATGATTCCATACACACACACACACACACACACACACAATTTCCAGAATAGGCAAATCTATAAAGACAGAAAGTAGACTATTGGTTACTTAGAGATGGGGGGGTTTGGAGGGTGATAACTAAAAGGTACAGGCTTTCTTTTCAGGGTGATGAAAATGTCCTAAAATTGACTGTGGTGATGACTGCATAACTGTGACTATACTAAAAATCATTCAATTATACATTTTAAGTGAGTGAAGGGTATAGAATGTAAATTATATTATAGAGATATTACTAAAATTCATTTTGGTGTAATTAATGTTGAAATAATAATGGTTGGTATTTATTAATCGATACTATGTGCCAGGCAGCATTAAAACCTTACATATATTATCTCCTTTAATCCCTACAATAGCTTAATAATATAATGACTTTATTATCTTAATTTTATAGAACCAACTAGGACTTTCATGGGCTAAACTACTTCCATATGGTCAGAAAGCCAGTATTTGTCAGGACCGCAATTAAAACTCAGATATAACAGCAAAGCCCATGCTCTTGATTGACATGTGGTATATTCATATAGAAATACAGGCAATTAAACAATTCTTTACTGACTTCTAGAAGAAATTACTATCACTTGTAGGCTAGGCTAAATGCCCATGTAAAGAGGCAAGTTATTCTGCTGCTACATAAAACATTCTGAAATCAAAGTTTCTATTAATAAAAGGGTATCATTTTGACATGTTCATATTGATCTGCCAATAGTTACATACATTTATTTGACATAGATTTTTTATTTTTTGAAAAATATAGAAATGTTAAAAATCATCTATATTTTTCATTTTAAATAACCTCTGCCCTCATACCCAGATAATCATTTATTTCTGCCAACATTTCAACTTATCACAGGATAGTCTGTGTTTCTTCCTTGACCAGCTAGATAACCAAGATATCCAGCTAGATAACCAAAGTCAAGATAGAAATTTGACTTTGGTCAATAAAACTATTTTTCAAAACATGGGCCAGTGGGTCTCATGCTAGGAGAAGAGGAAAAAGAAAGTAATTAATTAAAGAAGTAAAACTGATAGTGCTAAGAGGTATTTTTTCCTTGAGACATAGCAGCCATAGGTGACAACATACATTACTTCATAGAGTTAGTCTAGTCATTTCACTAGTGTACATAGATCATCAACCTAAGGATCCACCCCCTTCCCCAACTCATTCTTTCATTCAACAAATACTGTTGAATGCTCACTATCTGCCATACCCTGTACTGAGTTTTGGAGGTAGAATGGGACATGGTCCCTGTCCTTAAAGGGCTTAGGAGTCAAATGGACTTATAGACACTAAATTATAAGGACACAAATTGTAAAATGGTTGTAACTGATTGGATTATGAGGGGAAAGCAATTATTTTTTAATATAAGGATATTATAGGGTGACCCAGCCTATTTTTGACTTAGATGTGAAAAAGCATGCCTTTTTAGGGAAAATAAAATTAGTTCATTCAATATGAATTGTACGGGAGAGCTGGAAGGAGAACACATGAAGCTGGTGTTGAGCCAAGAAAAACTGCAAAAGGCCCTTTAAACCATATTAAGAAGTTTAGACTTTATCCTGAGGGAAAGGGGAACCACTGAAGGTTTATATGGGAAAAAGGATCCCTCTGCCAACAATGCACCTGTCCTAGGCAGTCATCCTGCCAATCCATGGATGCCAATAATCAAGCATGAAGTTACTACAGCAATACTACTGGGCAAGTAACTGAAATCCAGCTCTTTGTCAATCAGGTGAAGGAAAGCACAAAATAAGAACTCAAAAAGTGGCCAAGAGTGGCGGCTCACGCTTGTAATCCCAGCAATTTGGGAGGCCAAGGCAGGCAGATCATGAGGTCAAGAGATCAAGACCATCCTGGTCAACATGGTAAAACCCCATCTCTACTAAAAATATACAAAAATTAGCTGGGTGTGGTGGTGTTCCTGTGGCCCCAGCTACTAGGGAGGCTGAGGCAGGAGAATTGCTTGAACCCGGGAAGCAGAGGTTGCAGTGAGCCGAGATTGTGCCACTGTACTCAAGCCTGGTGAGGACAGAGCGAGATTCCATCTCAAAAAACAAAAAGTTCAAAAAGTGTTTTGATTTTATTGCTTATGTCTGAGAACAACAAAAAAAGACACAATGGATTAAATCAAAGATATGCCTTTTTGGAGACTATGCATAAAACGCAAATTATGAGACTGTGTTTAAGAAAACCAAAAAGATCTATGAACTAAACTTATGATAATTAAAATATTTTCAATCACCAAAACACATTATAAACTTTAGAATATTTTGGCTTCCATGTGAATAAAGCTAAGTGCTATGGATTTGGGGGGAAAACATGGATTACAGACTAAAATTATTTTATGAAGAAATAAATATTTAAATGTAAAAATGAGACCATAAAAACTTGTAGAATAAATTACACGTGAATATTTAATTACTTAGCAAGATACCAGAGGCAAACCCATAAACTAAAAATCAATAAGCTTGACTATATATAATTAATAACTTCTTTATCTTAAACATGTAATGAAGGGAATTCTGCTTCTAGCCAAGATGGAGTAACAGGGGCTGGATTTATTACCTGCCACCAGGAACAATTAAAACACTGGACAAGGCCACGCACAGTGGCTCATGTCTGTAATCCTAGCACTTTGGAAAGCCGAAGTGGGCAGGTGGCTTGAGCCCAGGAGTTCGAGACCAGCTGGGGCAACAATTTGCATCTCTATAAAAGATACAAAACCTTAGCAGCTGGGTATGGTGGTGTATGCTTGTAGTCCCAGCTACTCAGGATGCTGAGGTGGAGGGACCACCGGAGCCCGGAGGTCAAGGTTGCAGTAAGTCAAAATCATGCCACTGCACTCCAGCGCAGGCAACAGAGTAAGATCCTATCTCAAAAAACAAACAAACAAAAAAACACTGGATAGAACATATAAATGATGGTATTTGAAGACAATGGATATCAGGCAAAGAAAGACAATGATCCCTGACAGAAGACAAGCAACTGATGTAAGCCATCAAATGTTTGAGCTTCAGGCCCTGGGAGAATTTCCAGGCCATGGTGCCCAGAGGGGAAATCCAGTTAGAGCCTGGTGAAATCCCTGAGTTGAGGAGACAACGATGACAGTCCGGGTTGACCAAGGTGGGTAGAGTTGGCAGGGCAGAGTACCAAGTAGAAGAGAGCAGCACAGAAACGGGATATGGAGATTTGCATAGGGTTCCCCTCAAGTCTTCAGCTGAGCACTGATTGGTGCATGCATATGAGAAAACTACCTTAGACCAGGGGAAAAAACGATCTGAAAGGAATAGAGACTGCAGTACCTATAGCTCAAAAAGGGCTGTGAACAGCACTTATTCCCCTTAGCCAGGATAAAAAATCTCAATTCACAGAGCATTCTGGAGGCTACTCAGAAGAGTCTTGCCTTCATAGTAGGGACCCTAGACTAAATGCTGGTCTGTGATGTCTAACAAATTTTATTTTATCTATTTTTTATTTGTGAGACAGGGTCTTGCTCTGTTGCCCAGGTTGGAGTACAAGGGTACAATCACGGCTTATTGCAGCCTCAACCTCCTGGACTCAAGCGATCCTCCCGGCTCTGCCTCTCAAAGTGCTGGGATTACAGGCATGACCAACTGTGCCTGGCTCTAACAAATTTTAAAAACAAGACCTAAAAGGATGAAATTATTTCCAAGTAACTTAACTGTATTCCAGAACAAAGTCCAAGGATACTTAAAGGAATATAAAAATATCCAGTATTTAAAAAGGTAAAATTCACAATATCTAACACTCCACAAAAAATTACCAGGTATGCAGAAAAGCAGGCAAATATAATTCATAATGAGGAGAAAAATAATTGAAACCAAACCATAATTGATATAGATGATATATGTTAAAATTAGTTGTCAAGGACATTAAAACATTTAATATAGTTATATTCCATAAAGGGAAAACGTTG